GAGTGTCCCACAAGAGTGTCCCACAAGAGTGTCCCACAAGAGTGTCCTGCAAGAGTGTCCCACAAGAGTGTCCCACAAGAGTGTCCCAAATGAGTGTCCCACAGGAGTGTCCCACAACAGTGTCCCGCAACAGTGTCCCGCAAGAGTGTCTCACAAGAGTGTCCCTTAAGAGTGTCCCACAAGAGTGTCCCGCAACAGTGTCCCACAAGAGTGTCCTACAAGAGTGTCCCACAAGAGCTTCCTACAACAGTGTCCCACAAGAGTGCCCCACAAGAGTGTCCCACAAGAGTGTCCTACAGGAGTATCCCACAAGAGTGTCCTACAAGAGTGTCCCACAAGAGTTTCCTACTAGAGTGTCCCACAAGAGTGTCCCACGAGAGTGTCCCACAAGAGTGTCCCACAAGAGTGTCCCGTAAGAGTGTCCCACAAGAGTTTCCTACAAGAGTGACCCACAAGAGTGTCCTACAAGAGTGTCATTTGGACATATGTAGCTTTTGAATGTGTTTGCATTCGGGTTCGTGGGCTCCATCTTGTTTTTTGAACTTCTTTTTAAATCAAGGATTCTGGCCTTACCATATGAAAGTGTTTATATTTCTAGTGCATTCTCATCGTCGCCATCACTGTTCTGGTGTTCTTCTGCAATCACCTCCATCACTTCTTGCACCTCGTCCTCTGGCTCACTCAGCACTCCTCTGCTTGAAAGACTTCTTTGGTTTTCATCAGTGCTGCACCTTTCCATCTGGAAAATGGATCGGACGGATGCGGAAACCTCTTTCAGGGTCATGTCGCCTTTTGTTGCAGTGAGGAGCATGGTCTCTTCACGGCTTTCAAGGCGCAACTTCTTCATCAGCATGTAGCCTTTGGCTACTGACGGCAACTCCACCTGTTGCTCCTGTAGCTTTCGCAGAGCTGCGTCGAACCTAGCTAAAGACTGCTGGAAAGACTCACCAGGCTTCACCTGCGAGTCATGGAATTATCCGGGCAAGAGACCCCAAACAGTGTGTGAGGTCTGTAAGCACTGTGAGCAGAAAGTCCTGAGATCTAGACGCATTGGGGTCCCGAGAGGTGATGGTGGTGATGAAGTGAAGGTGGGTGTGAGTGAGTGTGGGTGAGAGGGAGTGTGAGTGTGAGTGAGAGTGGGAGAGAGAGTGTGAGTGCGAGTGTGAGTGAGAGTGAGTGGGAGTGAGTGTGGATGAGAATGAGTGTGAGTGAGAGTAAGTGTGCGTGAGAGTTAGAGTGTGAGTGAGAGTGGGAGACTGAGTGAGTGCGAGTGTGAGTGAAAGTGAGTGTCAGTGAGGCTGAAGGTGGGGTGAGCGTGAGAGTGAGTGTGAGTGAGAGTGAGTGGGAGTGAGTGAGAGTGGGAGAGTGAATGTGAGTGCGAGTGCGAGTGAGTGGGAGAGTGAGAGAATGAGCATCTGAGAGCACAAAGTACTGCGCCTGCCACGAAATCTGTACGTCGAGGTTCTCCAAGCGCTGTGCCTGCCACGAAATCTGCACGTCGAGGTTCACCAAGTGCTGCACATGCCACGAAATCTGCACTTCGAGGTTCACCAAGTGCTGCACCTGCCACGAAATCTGCACCTGCCACGAAATCTGCACTTCGAGGTTCACCAAGTGGTGTGCCTGCCACGAAATCTGTGCGTCGAGGTTCACCAATGTGCTGTGCCTGCCACGAAATCTGTACTTCGAGGTTCACCAAGTGCTGCGCCTGCCACAAAATCAGCGCATGGAGGTTCACCAAGTGCTGTACCTGTCACGAAATCTGCGCTTCGAGGTTCACCTGCGCCTGCCACGACATCTGCGCATCGAGGGTCACAGAGTACTGTGCCTGCCACGAAATCTGCACTTCGAGGTTCACAAAGTGCTGCACCTGCCACGAAATCTGCACATCGAGGGTCACAGAGTGCTGTACCTGGCACGAAATCTGCAAACGAGCCACATGTCCAAAAGTCACGATTCACTGCACCTGTCACGAAATCTGAGCTCCTTGACGATCACCACCGTGTCCAAAGTGCTGCACCTGCCACGAAAACTGCACTTCGAAGTAAAACAGCCCCGATCCCTTGCGTCACGAAAAGTCGACTTTGGAGCACCAAAACACAAGGTTTCCCTTGCGCCTGCCACGAAAAGTCACCACCATGTGCGAAAATGCGCACGGCACCACAACGAGAGCGCAGTCGCCTGAAGCACCCGCCGTGGGCAGGCAGATTTTGCGAGCCTGCGTCGAGAGGCATGCATGTACTGTAAATAGCAACGAATTAGCCGTTCACGCCCGCGCGCTTCAGCGATCTAAGCATCAGCTGCTTTTCACCTACCGTAAGAACCCCTCAGTGTGCCCACGCTGTTTGGGGAAAAAACCCTTCAAAGCAGCGTGTAGCAGATCTCTAGGTTGTGGGACGTACTTCTCATACAAAATGGCAAAAATCTAAGGTTTCAAGAGGAAGTTCTGCTTCTCCCTTCGCATACTGCATGATTCTCGCTCCAAACTGTTCCTTTCGGACGGCGTTTGGAAGCCCAGCGAGCATCAACAGAGCGCGTGTTTTCTCGGGTCCGAACCATCGAAGGCATCCAGCTGGTGCTTGTCCTCGGATCCATGGCTCATACCGTCCCTGTACGGGCTCCACGCTCCGGCGCTAGCCTTTTCTCCTAGAGTAGGCCCCATGCCTGCGATGAGACTATCCGGTACCTTCAACATGGATGTATGATTTTCACACATTGGATTTCAATTCTTGGAGGCTGATTTCAATCATAAGATAAGTCCAAAATCCTCGGAACCAACACCCTTATGCCGAGGCTGCCGATGTCATTTTCTTGTGGACGTTAAGCAAGCCTTTTTCAAACTGAGGCAAGCCGGGCAAGCCTAAACCCGATGCCCCCCTACCATAGGTATCCCATCCTATCCCGGAGCTACGCGCTCCACATCCACCACTGCTACCAGCATGTTTGGACCGTTCCCAAACGATGCAGAAGCATGCACGCTTGCCCGAGCGGAAGGAAATGATAGGAAATGCCCGTGTCAACTCTGAAGCACTTACGATGCTGCGCGGGAAATCGCGAAGCAACGCACGCATGGCAAAGCGGAATTCTTGCCTAGAGTATTTCGGCAAGGGTATGGAAGGAACATGAAGGAACATGACTGACATTGCCAAACATGGTGCACCCATGAAACAAGCTCTAGCCTGATGCCTTCCTCCAATGCTTGCTCCCAGATGATAAATATTTGGACAGACCCCATAATCCGACACTGGGCCTTTGGACCCAATCTCCAGTTTGTTTTGAAGGCCAAGCTTCCAATCTTTTGGAGCACGTGGTGGCGATGGGGTCCAGAGGATGGCTTTTTCAACTCGATGGATCGCTTTTACGGTCCTATTGGGTCGCGTTCTCAGTAATAGACGCTTCTTGGGTCTCGTCGTGGAGTCCGGACTGTCCTCCTTGTCGCTTCTTCGAGGTGGAACACGTCTTTGAACGCCTTGTATAATCACAAGCCCAACGGTGGTGAAGCAGGGCCGCAAGGAGGGCCAAGGCTGCCAAGGAAGAGGTAATTAAGGACCAAATAGATCCAAATAGGTTTACTCAATGTCAGGTGTTTTCTCATCATGCTCTATCGTGATTCAAACAAAAATAGGTCGTTTCCAGATTCTTGACATCTCGTCCTTGGCAGAAGAAGACCATTCAGGATGTTCTTCCAGAGGTGGCGCCAGAGACGGAGGAGGAGAAGAACCGCGTTATGCACAAGAGCTATTCTTTGGATATGTTCGACGAAAGGCCCATGAAATGGAAGGTTCCAAACAACCAAGGTGCCCTGGCTAGCACAAAGAACTTATCCTGGAAATTTGGTCTAATTGAAATTCAGACCGGAGGAGGTGAACATGCACTTGACTTGAGGTTTTGGTTTGGAACCACCTGATGCCCCACAACTGCGTTTTTTTTGTACGCTGGGCGGCTCCAAGGGTCAAGCACAGACTACTGTAGATGATACTCTGTCAGGTTTTTGTTTTCCAGGTGTTGCAGTTCCCGTGGCGGGTTTGAAGCGTAATTGACGATGTCTCTTTGGCGAATGGTTCGCTGCAGATATACAATATTGATGAACCAGTGTTCAAGAGCAGGGCCTGCCCAGCTGCTTGGTTTGAAATGGACCGACAGTGACATTGGTGCCAAAATGTATGAGGTACACTTCACCAGGAGCTGCAAAAGCTTGGAGTTGATACAGTCGTCCAGGCAACACATGCGGGAAGCAGATTTGACCTGCAAAAAACCTCTAGAGTCTAGAGCCGCTGGTTGTGTTTATCATTGTGGAAGAGGTATAGCAGAGCATTTTTTCATAGGCAATGTTTGCAATGCCTCCACAGATCACAACTATAGTTGTTTTTTTTTCCATGGTTTAGATGTTGCAGGTTGGAGCTTGGACAGATGATTGCATCATTTCAACGGCTTTTCATGCGTTCAGCCTCCAGTATGACGTGGTTTTGATTGAGGATGGTGTCTCCACTGCTAGCAAGCAGCATTTCAATGCAATCGAGGTGATGCGTGGGGCTGCTGCCAAGGTTCTTTTAGCGCAGGATGTGGTCAAATACTTCAAAGCAGGTCGCCCAGTAGAACCTCCTTTGCCAAAGGCAAAGCTGGCAGGACCACGTTTGGCACTGAAGCCTTTGCCGTCAGATCTGAGAAGTAGCAATGCTGAGACCCAACCGAGTACTGCTCAGAACCTCCTGGTCGCGCCTCAGGGACGCACCTTTGCTGATGGAGCAATATTGTTAGTAGTCGGGTGTATTGGCCCGATTTCTTTCGCAGCCGGCTGGATTTTGCGTGGTCGATCCACATTTACACGTCGTGATGCCCCACTGCTGTGAATCGTCTTTGATTTGCTTAGAGGCTTTAGACACTTTGTGTGCTTCTTAATTATCTTATTGTGCTTGAAGTACTGCCGCTTGCGTGAGTCTGGAAAAGGGATGTATTTATATAACACTTGGCCTTGTACCTTGCCGCACAGCAGCCAGCAGCCCGAAAAGAGGATTGGAAAAACATCAATTCCACCGAATGGCAGTTGCATTGTCAGAGGCCAAAGAGCAGCCAAGCAAAGACAAACTCTTGCAAAGTGCAGAACTGATCGAGCTTGGACCTGAAGACATGAAGACGGCTAGAGAGCATCGAGGTTTGTTCAGTTTTGCGGGTTGTTGTCGGATTCTTTTCGCGGCCATCCCACGCAAACGCAGCTTGCTTGCGTCGTATTCCACCCAGGCAAGCAAAAGAAGCCCTTCGACACTTGCGACAGAAAGCTTCTTCACAGGTGCTCCGGAACTGGATTCGGTTCTGCGCACATTTGCGCACATCGGTTCATACGTTGCATCCAGGACACGTCCGCCAAAGGTAGTCAGACACTCTCTATCTGGACATGTTTGGAACATTCTTGGACACATACCGGCTAGAATGAAAACATGCAAGACAATTCATAAACACTGAGAGATGTATGAAGATCATGTTAGCAAAAGCAATTGGTGTTTGTTGGAAGGCAGAGGCAGCAGAGCCTTGAGCCTAATTTCTAGCCAGTACGCAGTTGCGCATGGTCCGAAAGCGTTTGAAGCTGTATAGTGGCCCGCTTAGACTTCGTTTGGTCAACTTTGTTCAATAGTTTCCCTATAGCTATGTTGTTCTGGTAAGGGATATTCTGCAGGCATTAGCTTGGAGGTTTGGCAGCCTGTAAGTGTGTGTGTGTGCGTGCGTTTGTGTGTCCGCGCAGTACTTCCATCAAGTATATTATTATATATAGTTTTGTAGCTAGTTCTTGTCCTTGTAGATTTGAACAGCAATAAGTGTAGTGAAGGCTGCGCTATATATGTATAGCCATGTCACCATCCAGAACAGGCCTGAAAAAGTGCATGTGCACAAATCCAGATTTGGGAGTGCGGAATGATACATAATTAGTGACGGACAATTACTCAAACTATCTTTGTTCTAAGCATGCTTTACAATGATGTTCTAAGTGATGCTTGGAGTGGTTTGCTTTAGATGTTCTAAGAGACGGGATTGAACATGTTCTCAAACGTAGATATGCCGCATCGGGAGTTCAGGCCTGAAGAGGCACAAGATCAAACTGGGGCTGAGGCCCGGAGTTTACTAATTATACTCTTTTTAGGGCTCCCACACTTCCACAGCAGGCTGATGCTGATCCGGCTGCAGCGGACAAGGCCCCGTGGGAAGCGCATCAAGCATCACAAGCATCGTGTCGGCTGAATGCTGCAGACAGCACGTACGGGCAACTGGAGGTGACGGTCCTGATGCCCTCGGCGAAGGTTTGGCTCTGAATGTTGATTCCAAAGTGGTTAGTCCTCTGCACAAAGCAGTATATGCATTTAATCAATTTAATCTTAAGGTATTTTGAGTAGTAGCTTATAATCATGCGCAAATTGTACAGAGCTCAGACGGTTCCAGAACACATACAGTCATACAGGTCCTGAATCCTCTCGAGGTGCCACCCTGTGAGCTACCACTCTGGTCGCGAGCTGAGAAGCTGCAAGAGCAAGATAGCTTCTCAAGCTGGCCATGGCTCAATCGATTTTCGTGCTGCACGCGGATCATCAGCTAAGCACATGTTTGTTCCCATGTATTCCTCAGTTGTTCTTCAGAAGTATGCTTGATGTGTTTTGCTGCGTTTGGGGGTTCAAGCACAAAGCTCCGGATTGCATCCAGTGTTGCTTGGCGAAAGGTTGATATGCAGCATGCACACATTTGAGGGTATATAAATGTGCTGCATGTCAATGAAAAAAGTTGTCCAGAGTTCTGGCTGCAACCAGATGGTTGAGAATGCAACGCATCATAGTACGTAGGTGCGGGGGAAAGCGCCTGTGAGATTTGCGAGCCCGACTGACTGGAACAAGGGGTTCATGTAAAAGATGTCACGAGCCATTGAAGGCATCAGCGGCTCAAAATCAAAGCATCTCTCCATATTTCTCCGCTCACGATGCGGACACAAAAGATTACTGGCTTAGCATTACCACACACCACCCATCGAACGATGTCGAGCCAACATGAGCCATTCATCAACGTATCCATTGACCCGTTCAATCTGACTGCGTTCTACGATCGATCCGAGCACCGTGCAAAATCGGTTTCCCATGGTTTCCCAACAAAGGATTACAGTAAGTGCGCAGAACATCGCAGAACCCTCGGCTAAGGAGCCTCATCATGGTACGAACTCAAAGACACAGTCAGTATGCAGAACCCCTACAAAAGCCACCGAGAAAGCAAGGTCGTTCCACACCCTACCACCTAATCCCACAGACCCAAACCCACAGCATGCATGTGCAGTCGAAAATTACCCCAAAGCGATGAACAAGTGAACAAGTGTTGACCCACCCACTTCCGCGCACACGCAAGCACAGAAGCCTATGACCTATTTGATCCTATATTATATGCATCTTTGTTGGCCCAGCCACTGACAGATTGCAATCATGTGCAATATAGATTCAATTACGGTATTATGTTGTGGTCAATTAGTCAACCAGTCCTTTTGTCTTAGCTGCATGATCGGTCGTTGCAAGTTCGGCAGCAATGTCAATGTTCCTACATTGGATCCCCATTTATATAAATTTTAGCTGTTTAGGAGGTGAACGAGCAGATGAATCGCAGGCTGATTTTCTCGCCCGCCTGAGGATAGGTGGTGATAATAGATGTGGTGACACCAAGCGGCGGGAGGACACCTTTAGTGCGACAAGTGCTGTAGATACAATTGATCGATCCGATAAGAGCATGCGTCCTCTTGAGGGGGGGAGAAAAAAGAGAGAGAGAGAGAGAGAGCGCAAGTCAGAGTTGGGTGCAGGTCAAAGCAGCAATTGGAGGCTAGTGATCACTGCACAAATATGGGGATCATTGTGCAACTGAAAGATGTGCATGTTCGCTCGCTGCAATCCTGCCCCACCAGAACACACCATGAGCCATGGTTTCTTCCGGAAACCTGCCCAATGGATTCTAATAATTCTTGATGTGATGCTGTGCTTGTCACGACTTTTTTCTTATCATGCATTTAGTCAACTAACACCAACGATATACGCAATAACACAATTAGCGAGGTAACGCCAAAACCCAACAACGCCAACAAGCAGACAGCATGAAGCACAAACGACCAACACCAATAGGATCCGACAACTGGCCTGTCCGAGTAACCCGCCACTGTCCTGCAAGTGGCCTAGCCTAAACATGTAGCCAACTAATGTTGTTTGACAACTGCTTCAATTGCCACTATCTCCCATAGAACGTTGGGAACACAAATCAATGCTTCCTCATATGTGTAATGCCTGTGGCCATGATACTGAGGCTTTGTGCTGGTCAAGCTTGGATGTCACCTTACCTGAGATCTTACCCTCTTTACAGGCCGCACTAGAATCCAGCAAGTGGAGAGGCTTTACAGGCAACATGCAGATTGCTGCATTTCTGTCTTCACTGCTGCTCTCAAGCTACTTTGCCGGCACAGCATCTAGCTTGGATTCCAAGTGCTTCCAAGAAACTTGCGAGCTCTCAGCACGGTCCTTGCTGCAACAAAGTGTTGAGCTCAAAGGAGTCGTCGAGCCTCATGCAACTAAGAGGTGACAATAACTTGATATGTTTTGCAGTTCTGTGGCGTCTACCTCCTAGCAAAAAGGGTGTGAAGCTCATTGGCTGAACTTTTGCCACGAGCTTTCACCCAAGCTGAGGCAACTAGTGAATCCTTTGACCTGCACAGGGAGCTGTCGCTACTCTTTGAGTCAGCTGCAAGAAAATCTTGCTCCAGCTATTCCTCCATAGCTGCTAGGATGGCACTCATACATACTCACATAATGTAATAAAGTGCACGTATGTATGTATATATATATATATGTATATATATTCATAAGCATACCAATGACATACATACATAAATGCATGCATACTGAACTGACTGACTGACTGGCTGACTGACTGACTGACTTACGTGCGTACATACCTACGTACCTACGTACCTACGTACGTGCGTACGTACCTACATACATAGATAGAGACAGACAGACAGACAGACAGACAGACAGGCAGGCAGGCCTTGTGCAGACAGACAGACAGACAGACAGACAGACAGACAGACAGACAGACAGACAGACAGACAGACAGACAGACAGACAGACACACAGAGAGAGACAGACAGACACACCACAGCCAGACAGACCGACGGACAGACAGACAGACATATATACATAAATACAATTAAATACATACATACGTACGTCAAGTCATGATATTGGTGTTTTTGCATTGGC